AAGGAAGGAAGGAAGGAAGGAAGGAAGGAAGGAAGGAAATGTGACAGAGATTTTTATTAGAGATAAAGATTTAGAAAAATATATCATAAAAGATCAAAAGCTTCTAAGAATAAGCTCATTACTGTAGAATATAAGAAAGATAAACACATTGCTTATCTTTATTAAATTCTATGCAATGTATTCCTTAGCCAGAATAAGATTATGAATTTTATGCACACATAAAATTGTGCTTGTAAATTCTTGGTGTGTGTGTGTGTGTGTGTGTGTGTTTGTGTGTGTGTGTGTGTTTGTATGTGTCCTTCACTAAAGACAGTAAGAGCATATAATATTTTTGCAGAGGACTTGAGTTTAGCTCCCTTACACACAGAGGTAAAACATAACTCCCTCTGTCTTCTGTGCCAGGGATCTGATATCTTCCTCTTGTCTCTTGGGACATTTGTACTCATAGGAATAAATATCATTCTTATGAATACATATAACATTTTTGAAATAAAAAATTAGCCAAAGATTGACTGATAGAGCATATGTAGGCCTTTATAAATAAATAATTTAAATTATGGTGGATAAAGAACATTGAACAACTATTTGAAGGGTAGTTAGCAATTCTAATTATTTATTTCAGGGCTCAGACCACTCGGCAACTCCCTAAAATTTTATTGAATAAAACCCATTTATGTTTCATCCAGACCTACTGAGTCAGAAATTCTATGAGAGGAATCAGCTGTCTTTACTCAGAAATCCTGCAGGCAATTCTTACACTTCCAAGTATCTCTCCACCATCCAGGACATCAGGGCAGATGTCCTGATCAATAATTCAAGACAGAATCCTTGTGGCAGGGACTGATGCAGAAACCATGGAAGAATTCTTATTGGCTTGCTCCTAATGGCTTCTCATTAGGATAAGCTCAGAATGCTTCTTATATATCACAGGGCCAGGACCAAAACCCCATGAAAGGCATCACTTATTATGAATAGGGATTTTCCACATCAATTATCAATCATGAACATACCACACAGATTTCTCCAGAAGCCAATCTAGTAGGAAAATGTTCTAAATAAGGCTCCCCTTTCCCAAATGACTCTAACTTAGGTCAAGTTGACATAAAACCAGCCAGAACAGAGGATTGTTTTAATTAGGTTAATTGAATTGGAGGGGAACCCCCCCCACACCTATTGTATCACCATTCTCTGGGAAGAGCTGGGTGATATTAAGAGAAGAACATGTACTGAGCACAAGCATTAATTGCTTTCTTTTTTTGACAGTTGGTAGCATGTGACCAACTCCTTCAAACTTTATTCCTGCCAAGGTGGATTGTAACCTTGAACACTGAGTAGACATAAGCCCTTCCTTCCTTAAGTTGCTTGATCAGGGTATTTTTATCAGGAAAAGAAACTAGACTAGAATGGGTTGTTGAACAACGACTAGGAAGCCTCAGAACACAATTTAAGACCCTGGAAAGATAGGGAACTAAAGGGTGACATATGAAGAAAAAAATGAAAGATTAGGAGCAGACTTTCTCTTTCGTCTATCATTATCATGAAACTTAAGATAGGTCTTTTCTTTAATCCGAACTTCTGCTCAGTATAGTATAGCTAATGTGTGTCATTCAGTGACTTCAAAAGATGCATTGACAGTCTGTGACTCAAAAGACAGGATATCAGGTAGGTATTTTTGAATTGTTGAAAACTGAACATCCTTGAGTACCCATCACTTTCTTATGTCAACTTGTTTAATTGATTGAAAAAACAAAAAGAACACAGCAGCTTAGATTTACATCAAAGCACAGAAGTGTCTTTAACGAACTTGAAAATAACATTGACAAAAAGAATACCATAAAGTCATTGTTCAATCTCAGCACTTTTCAAATACTTTAATGTCCAAGGTGACTTCTAAGATCAATGCCATTACCTAATTCACCACTGACTTGCAAGCCCATGTGCCAGTGTATGATCTCAGTTGTACAGATATTCTATGAGATCACAGATGCTTGACATTGAAATGATTGATAGTTTTCAAGGAAACGAAACTCAATGATATCACTTAGTTTATGAAGTCGGAGACCCCTCCTTCCAGTGTCCTTGCCTGTGAGAAACACTGCTTAAGAACAAAACTCCTTGAAATATTTCTCTTAAGCAGTTGCTGCTTCAGGAACCTGAAACTTTTGCCAGAATGTGCAGACAGGTTGCTCTAGACATCATAAAAAGAAGACAAATTGAGGGTGGTGGCAGACACCAGCTGTACAGGAAGACAAGAATTATTTGTCAGAAGCCTTTAGCCTTGAAGATTTACCTCAGAGTAGATGAGGAGAAGAAAGAATCTTCTAGGTAGAGGGCAAGTCGTATTCAATTATTTCCCACCCACAAGCCTAAAAGATAAGAACTCGAAATATCAGCTACTCAGAAGCCAAACCACTGCAGCTGTTAGTAGGAGTGCCATTGAATATTCCTATCCATGTTGAGGATGGGCTCCATCACAGTGCATCCTGTTAGCAGAAATCACATTCCAGGTTCTTCCCTGAGCTCTGTATACACATGAGATATAGACTCCTACAGTTGGATGCCATTGCCTGGGACCCACTGTCAGAGCATGCCAGGATATTTTCCAGA